CAAACTGCCAGTCTTTCAGGAAGTTGTTGTTAAGTGCCATTGAACTGTCACCACTCCTACTGACCCTGTGTAAAACAGAGGAAACACTGCTCGTGTAGCATCATGTAGCTTCCTCACAATCACTGCTACACCTAAGCCTGTTGTAGTGATCAGTCTATTAGTTGATCACTTAACTGTGACCAAGTACCACATGGTAGAGTCTAACTGTACTAATTTTGGGAAAATTCCATCGGTTCCTAGATTTTGACACTTCGCTGTTTCTAAACTCTTATTAATTATGTGAAGCTGACCAGATCTGTTTTCTATTTTAAAAGATGTATACCTTGTGGGTGAAAGTTTAGAGAGTAGCCTGATTTTCCATTCAATAATCTGGAAACATTTGACGTCTCTGATTTCAATCCTCAAAGTGTAATACAAGTCATCCACTCCCTCCCTTTGCTTCTCTTTTCCATACTCCCTTTCCTAACTCTTCCTACTTCTTAACTGTAGTGTTGAGAAACACTGCCCTTTAGTTCCCAAATTGTTAATGTTCTGGGGAGTGTGTACCACCTTCAAATTGCTGCTCTCCTTCTAGTCTTGTGTGTTGTTTGTTTTTAAAATGAACCATGTAAGTTTAATTCTGGGCTTGAAGAGTAACTAATGACCATCATTTTGGGGTAAACCAGTGTCTATCCAGCCAGTATATCTGATCTTTTTTATGATTTTAAGTTTTGTTCCACATCTTTCTCTCACTTGTCTAGGACTTTCTACTATAATTCCTTTCAGAGTTACTCAGTAGGGGCGTCTAGACACCATCTACTTCTTCTGATCTCAAGTCATACAGGCTGAGATGTCCAAATATGTTCCATGTATATTTGATTGTCTTCAGTGTTTGCTACAAAAGGCTAATAATTTGCAGAGGGGTTAATAATTGCAGTTAGATGGCCACTCACCACAAGCCATTTGTGTGTGTGTACATGTATGTGCATGTATATGTATACCTAAAGGTATACATTTCAGGTGCCATTTAGTTATTTCCAACTGATAATAACCTTATGTAAAATATAACAAAATAATACCTGGTCCTATACCATCCTCACAGTCACTGCTATGAGCAAGCCCACTGTTGCAGCCACTTTCTCTGTTTACTACCCTGCTTATTTAATTTCATTTATATCTCAGAAGAGTTGGGCACCAGATACACTGTACGTTGATCCTAATTCAATATAACAAAGCCTATTTTCAAACCCAGTGGCTCATACATCAGTAAGATTTACAACATATATTTTGGTGGGCACACAATTCAATCCTGAGCATCAGGGGGAAAAAAGAGTACTTCTTTTTCTGGGCTGCCTTTACAAGGATTATATTATTCACATAAAGTGCTTAACACAATACCTGACATTAGGTAAGAGCTCCATCAGTTGCAGATGCTATTATAATTTTGATTAAAACTATGATTATGATTATTAGCACCATCTGCTGATCCACAGCTGTTGTAGTTGCCAATTCAGGGTCTACAAGACCTCCATTAATTATTTGGGGAGTGGAGAATTAGCAAGAGAAGGCCCCTTGTTCACAATGTTGCTAAGAAGCTGAGTCTATTTCTGGGCCCTAGAGTGTAGAGCTGTGACACTGATGTGTCAAATGCGTTAATGGTTGGCTACCCAATGCGGACAGAGAGTGGGGTGGAGCTCCCTGATTAAAACAAGCTTGGAAGGAGGAGTGGCATCCACTTCCATAATAGCTTG